AAGAAGCCCCCTAGACAAAAGCCAAGTAATTAAGAAAGCTAGGGAAACAAGAAAAAGAAATCCCTTACAAACAACAGGTCATGCCAAATCAGCAAAACAAATAGACAAAAGACACGAAATAAATGCCATAGCAGACAGGAGATTGCCACAAAACAAATATAAGAAAACATTAGGAAACTGATAATCCAATCAAACTACCCTGCAAAGTTTGCCTTCTGCACCCCACGGAGTTTACCCTCTGGCGGAAATGAAGACAACCCCTGACAGGATTTCAAACATTAAGAAATACAAACACAAGCACTCACACACAAAAGGAGAAAAAGTATAAAAATCAGGGGTTTATTATACAAAGAGAGCTAGCCCCAGGAATGCAGACTTCTTGCTATCTCTCGCCTTCCTGAAAAATAAAAAGAACCAGCTTCCAAGCAGTTGTCTGAATCCTTGCACTGGAGTTCTCCCAGCAGGAAAACCGAACCCTCAGAAGAAAGGCATTTTCCAGCCTTTCAACAATGAAAAACAAGCTTTTATTAAAATATTTCTATATGATTCCAAACACATTCCATCATACAATAAGCTAAGTGATTTGTTTGGTTTTTATGTCAAGGCAATCCCCCTATAATGGTCTATAAACTGAAGTTTGTTTAATATGGTGTGAATCCAACTATTTGTGGTCTATTAATAAACCATGCTTAAACCATGGTCTAGCACAATGTGGCTATCTACTAAGGAAGGAAATCTGAAAGTGCTGATTGATTGACTTGTCTTTTTATGTAAATATTTCTAAGATGATAAAAGCAAAACCTAAGAACAAAAACAAGGGAATTAAACAACAAAAAATAGCAACAACATTAAAGCATGGAACATACAATAATAGTTGGAAGTGATCTTGGAGGTCTTCTAATCCAACTCACTGTTCAAGCAGGAGAAACCAGTACCGTTTCAGACAAATGGTTGTCCAGTTTCTTTCGGAAAGCCTCCAGTGATGGAGCACCCACAACTTCTGAAGGCAAGCTGTCCCACTGGTTGATTGTTCTCGCTGTCAGAAAGTTTCTCCTTAGTTCTAGGTTACTTCTCTCTTTGGTTTGTTTTCATCCATTGTTTCTTGTGTAATCTTTTGGTGCTTTGGAAAAAAATTAACCCCTTCATCTTTGTGGGAGTCCCTTAGATATTGGAACATTGCTATCATGTCACCCCTAGTTTTTCTTTTCCTTAGACTACTAGACATACCAATTCCTGTAACAGTTCTTCATATGTTTTTAGCCTTCAGTCCCCTGATTGTTCTTGTTCTTCTCTGCACTTCTTTCCAGAGTCTCAACGTCTTTTTTATATTATGGTGACTAGAACTGGATGCAGTGTGGTCTTACTAAGGCTTTGTAAAGAGGAACTAGAACTTCATGTGATCTTGATTCTATCCCTTTATTTAATGCAGCCTAACTATTACCATAAACACATTAAAAAGCACGAGAGAAGACTGTGTAGTGTTTTCATTTTCCAGTTTCATCCCAATTTGTAAGTTGAGGACTGCATGTATTGAGAACTCATCAGAGCCTAGGGTTTGGGCCCCATAGAATAATCTCAGTAACTATATCTGATGTGTCCTCAGGAGGAGAAAACCAGTCATATAGTGCCTGCCTCCTGGTGACTCATAAATCGGAGAACACTTCATGGAATATGCACTGTGTAAAAAAGAAACATGCCTCTCCTCTTTGGAGGTAAGGTCTAAGAGCTTGATGGATGGTGGACTATATATGGCATTCTTAGGAAACACAAATCTTTTTAATACAGAGACCTCAATCTTTGAAGGTGAACAGAAAGTGAAAGAAAATAAGAGAGAGACTAGAAAGTCTTTGAAACTGCAAAAGCAAACACAAATCATTGTACCATGCCTGCTGTGTTGTAAATGTTGACATACTGTATCCCTGTGAACATAACTGAATATTTTTCTCTTCCTCCCCCACCCCTGACATTTTTGGGGTTAGTGGGTACATTTGAAATTTATTTTATTTTTTATTTTATTTATTGAATTTATATGCTGCCCATCTCACTGTCAAGGGACCCTTGTTGAGAAAATGTCTTAAATGTTGGACACATCGTCCCCTTTCATCAGATTGTTTCTTTCATGGCTCAGAATTATTTTCAGTGGTGCTGGAAAATCCTGCTTCTTTTGATAAATATAGATACTGTACATAGATAATGTAAATTGTTGCCTGTTGTTTGTTGTTGTTGCTGTCTATTTTTCCTGCTTTTTATCCTGGTTTTGCCAGTTAACTCTGTTTGACATTTGCTGGGTGTTTCATAAATGATGATCAGGCTAGATATTTTGCTAGCCAAACTGAGCGGCTTCTGTGCTTGCTCTGATCTGGATAGAGAGAATGACTGAGAATGTGCAGGATACGAAGTAAACTGGAAATTCCCCTCAGTAATTTCCAGCAATAAGCATAAGCACCAATGACTGGTCACAAACTAGTGAAAGTACTTCCTGCTACCCATTCTTCCTCCCGAAGGTGTTCTTTACTTTACTAGCTCAATCTATTTTTATTTTCCAAAGAAAGCCCGAGCTTTAGTCACCTGCAAGATTTATCTTCTGTTTCTGGGAACCGGGTTGCATGTAGTATCTACTGGCCTGTGTGGAAATAAAGATGTGGTTGAGGCTGATGCTCTTCTTTGCTATGAGGTTCCTGTTTGTTTGTTTGTTTGTTTATTTACAATTTTCAAATATGAAATGAAAACTGCCATTTTGAGCTTGAAACAAAACATTTCACCCAAATATCTCATCAAAAAAGTCTGAGGTATATATTGACAGAACAAACTCAAAAGCAATTCTGTAAATCCAAAATATTTTGACCATAGAAAACAATAGAAACACACACACACACACACACACACAGAGGCAGGCAGGCAGACAGAGAAACCATTAGTTTTATGCTGCCCAAAACTATGGCATTACTACTAATTACTAATTACTACTATGCTGCCACATTCTAGACCACATGTAGGCTTTCAAAGATACACCTATATACAGCACAAGACAATATGGTAGTCTATTCAGGAGGTGGTTAGGGCATGAATAATAATCTGGAGAGTCTTCCAAATCAGGAACAGGCACAACAAGCACATTAGATGGGTCTGTGTGAAGAGACTCTTGGCAACAACTGTTATCTCCTCCTCAAGCAGGAGTTTGAATCCAAAGCTACTTCCAGATTGCCCATTCACCTCAAAGGATAATGCTGCCTTATCCAAGACTATAGAGATGGAAGTTTCCCAGGATCAATTCTTCACAGCCTCTCTAGACATTGGGACAGAAGATTGACAGCAAGTCAAGGATGGTCCAGAATCAAAACACACAATTGAATAGTATACTGATGATACCAAACCCCAAATCAATGCATAAACTCAAGCACTGGTTTCATTTAGCTGTTGAACAAGAGGGGGAAAGAATCAAAGCCCCTACATCATGCCACAGAGATTACATCTGGGTTTGAACATTTTCCCAACATTGGCACCAATTGAAATAGGCCACAGAAGGAGAAGGACAACCCGTTAAAATGGTATCCTCCACTCTTAGTCCCTACAGCTGGTCCAAAAGGATATTGTGATTGATGGCATCAAAAGCCATTATGAAATGAAGGAGCATAAGGATAGATGTAACATCCCATATCAGCTCTGCCAAAGGCCATCACAAGTGTAAACACATTCATCTTAGTACCATTAACTTTTATAAAAGTTGCCAGACCCGGGCTACAAAAATCTGGACACTCGCTAGAGGGCAGAAAAAAATATTAAATATATCAGACAATGTTAATCCTTTGCTGCATCTAGAGATCATTCAGGTTTTACTTTTCTAGATCTGGTAATTTTACAATTCAATAATGGTGTCTTCTTAATGTATTGTAAACTGTTGGTAGATCGGCAGTCACTTCATTTCCTACATTCATTGATGCCCAGAAAACTAAACAGTATTGACCGATCTAGGTCGATCAGGTTGATAATGAGATTTTGGCAAAGTTCCTGGAACCTCACCCTTTCATTCAAGTAGTACATTGTTTGGTTATGTATTACATGAATCTGTAATAAATCTGTAAGGTGGTTTACAGCAAGAAAAAGCAAATTTGGTTGTTCAAAACTGATCACATTTAATTATCAGGATAATCTCTATTACGGTAGTAGCATAGATCAAAAGTAACTCAAGGATTCTATCCTTGTGTGTCAGCACAATTCCCTTCATGTATCAAAAGGAGAATTACTCCCTACCACCTGAGGTGCCAGGTGGTCCCCGAAAGTTGCCAGCCATTTCACATTTTAAGTGGGTCAAAAGAACAGTTTGGAAACTTGAGGATTAATTATAGTGAGTTTAACTAGATTTAGTTTTGTCCTGGCTTCACTACTTTTGTCCTAGCCTCACCTACTTTTCAAAAAGTAGAAAGGACTTGACACACCCGCTCTGCCAGAAAAAGTTGTGCAAACCTGCCCTAGACTGAAGAGGACTCTGACTTGATTGGCTATGATGGAATTTTGTTTGTTAACTTCCAAGGAGAAGTAAAATACCGCGATACACAATGTGCATACAAGTTATTTAAATTGATTTATTTTTCAGGTATGACTCTGAACGCGAAGTGCACCTGCACGCGCGGTTTTGTTGAAAGGCACCAGTTGATATTCCAGATATTCCTTGGAATTAAATACAACAAATATTAGCACGCTGGCTTGGTTTGACCCCATGCCATAAACCAGCGTTTGGGGGCGGGGGGTGAGGGGTATGAATCAGCTTTCCGGCAAGAGTTTCGCTTGGACCTCCTGCCTCGAGGTCAACCCAACCCCGTCTGGAGAGTTTACGGGAGAGGGAAGTGCAGCTCGGGTCTTTGGAAGCGCCGCCAGGGGTCCGCGGGAGGTTCACCAAGGGGCGGAATAAGCCAGCGCTGAGGCGAGAGAGAGAGAGAGAGAGACTCAGAGGTCGCTCCGAGCGCGGACGGCGGCTGCGTTACAGGCCAAGTTCCAGCACCTTTCGGGGCGGCGCGTTTCGTTTTCGTTTTCCTGAAGGACAGCGAGCACCGCCTGGGCTGAAGGGGAATTGGATAGGATTCTGCGCGCATCCAGACGATCCTGGCCCCGCGGTTTCCCCACTCCCCTCGCCTCCCCTTGTAATGCAGGTAAGGGCTTGGGGGAGAGCAGCAGGTGCTCTGTCTGACCCCCCCTCCCCGATCTTCCCTTGTTCTCTGTGCCCTCCCCCAGCGCCCTAGATTCCCGTAGGCTCCGCGCCTTCTGTCACGTCCTCTCGCCCAATGCCCATCCGTGCCAAGGTCTGACCCGGGCGGCTTCCCTGGTCCCCACATCTCTCTCTCCTTCATACGGGCTGGAAAAACGGGGTGGATACATTGAGGCGTTTGGAGGGCAGCGTCCCGCCACGCTTCAGAAAGCGTTGGGGTTCTGTGGACTAGGTTGTATCCACGGAAAGCATTTCTCTGGTGGTTCAAAAGAAAAACGTTTCAAAATGGACAAAGTTCGGAATTCCCCAGGCTTTTCACAAGAAAAGGGAGACGTTAAGCAACTAGCTGTTTTCTTTGAGAAACAGCGTTTGGTTGGGCAAAATTAATCCGGGTGTGAGTTAATGAAGCTGTTTCAAATGGGAAAATAGTGGATCACATATTTTAAGGCTAGATTCATGCAAGCAAAACCTAAACACTTAAAAAACAAAAACAAATCTGGGCTGTATCCTTTCCTCTATCTTAAACTCTGGGGTAGAAAGTGGAAAGGAGCAATTTTAAGTGTACATTTTCAACCAGCCTTCCTCAACCTGGGGTCTTGGGTTGTGCTGCAGTGATTCCCATTCAGCATTGCTTCAGGGCATGTTTATTTATTCATTGATTCAACCAATCAATCAATTTCTATAGCTGCCCATCTCAAATAAGTCTTCAAGGCTTTTCGAAAGGGCCAGGGTCATCCTCGGCTCTGAAAGAAGAATGTTCCAGAGGGCAGGAGCTTTGATAGAAGGCAAGACTCTTAGTCCCTGGAAGCCAGCATTCCTTAATGAATGGGACTCATAGCATGCCACTGTTGGGAATTATGGGTACTGTACTTTAGCACAAAGGATGGTGCCTAATTGGGACGATTTACTTTAGATAAGGGCGACCTTATTTTCTCCCTGTATTCCCTTTCTGTCCCAATTAGCCCTCTGCTTTAGACCAGTGTTTTTCAGATTTGGCAACTTTAAGATGTGTGGACTTCCAACTCCTAGAATTCCCCAGCCAGCAAGTTGAGTTGAACCTCTGCACATCTTAAAGTTAACATGTCTGAAAAATGCTGGTCTAGAAGACCATGTAGGTTATGCATTCCTGTATATGAGAAGCTGTGGAAGCCTTATCTTTTGTAAGTCAAGGCATTCCTCCACAATCAGAGAAGGAGAACAACTGAACACCATCTGTGGGAACACTTCTTTAAACCAGGCATTATTGTTGTGTACACCGACATGGTATGCTACTCTTTCTTTGAAAAAAAAAAGATATTTGAAAATCATTTACTTATTGACATGCTAGTTGCATGGATTAATATGCTGCTTGGCAGGATGGAGCAATTTACACTCAAATTAAAAGTGGGTACATGTATAAATATAGATATATAAAATATCAAACCAGTAAAAATGACACCCCGTATGTTATACCATTATGAATAAATACAGTACTAAAAATAGATTTTTAAACAAGCTACCAGAATAAAACTGAAATGAAAGTGTGTGGGCATCTTTCACTTTCATTTTCTTTATTGCCTGGTATTTAAGAATGAATCTGAAACTTTTTAAAAGTCAATCTGCATAAGACATGCATGCAATGGTAAAAGAATTGCAGTTGCAAAATCAACAATGGTTCTTGTGATACAATGAAGAATAAACATAATTCATGAATTAGAGTTTACTTCATCAAATATTTGGTGAACTCTACTCTTAGGTGCAATACCTAAACTTAGGTATTTATTGATTTATTGAGTTTTAAAATCTACAGCTGCTTTTTTTCAAGATTTCAGGAGTGTCTGTAGAGTGTGGCCAAATAAATTAAGATGGCGGTTTTAATGATGAAATGTGAAAAACATAAAAATCAGTGGCGCTTCCATCTCACCATCATAGCCATCTTGCCTTTTCTCCCTATGCCTCTGCTAGGTACTGTAGATGTGTGTTTGTGTTTGTTTAACTTCCCAGACTCAACAATCCTGGGATTTAGCAGTGATCACTCTTGCAAACACTAATCAACTCCAGTTTAGGTTACCTGAGTGCTCACTTCATATGCTTAATCTTAGCTCCTAATTTCTACTTTTGTGACCAACTTGCTTTCCCTTTGTAGGGGATGCAAAAGAGGGAAAGGAACTTTTTACACACACAAACACACACACACAAAGGGGGAGAGAGAGAGAGATAGATCTCAATTTACAGTTATATTTAATATATATCATGGGCTTAGTTTAAGAAGATATACATAAACATGTTAATGGGATGTAGATGGTTTCAAACCAAGCTTTTTATAGTGTCTTATCTCTTTCTCAATCTTCTGCAGCTGGTTTCTATACTTTTTCTTCTGGTCTTCCTTCTGTCTGAGGGGGGAGAGAAAAATGACTGCTTTCTGGACTTCTTGGATGAAAAACGTATTTGCCAATCTGCTCTGTTCTTCCAAAACTATACAATATTTTTCCACCAGCCAGTTAACAGATCTCTCTCTCTCTCTCTCCTCCCTCCCTCTCTCTTTCTCTTGTCTTGCTTGCCATTGTAATCACCCCAATTTCACCAGCCTACAGTTTTCAAAAATTATTCTAGGAATGCCCAATAACTTTTTCTTAATTACTTAATGCTTTCCCCCTTTTATATGTCTACAGCTTTTATCTCATCCTTTCTCTGTGTATTTGATTCATTTTATTTGCATGGCGATTCTGGGGTATAGTTTAGTTTTGGAGACAATTGTTGATCCAAGTTTTCCCACAAAGAGTAAGGACAATTTTTGACCTGGGTTTCTCTCCAGCCTATCCAGCAGACTTTCTGCTGAAGCATATTGGTTCTAGTTACATTACGAACATTTTCCTTCATTGATTCTTACTTATCCAGCTTTTAGGCAGTGCAGAGTAACAAAAGAGGCATTGGGGAAATACAGCTGATTTCCTGTAGGGAAACTATATGGCTTCAGTGTCTTTCTCCTTCCTTAAGGTTGAAGTGGCAGATGGCTCTTTGACTCCTGTGGCCACATCAGCTTTGTCATTACCATTGCACCCTACTTCGAAGGCATCAGTAAAGTCGCTCTATGATGGACAAATCTGCACATTGCCAGGCCGACTCAGTGAGTAGAAGAGGTATTATTTAAGGCAGCTTTTCAAAGATGGTTCCTTAAAGCCTTGGATATATGCTCTACAGGCTTCTCCAAGCAGTGCCACCAAGTTGTAATTTTAATATGACACTAAACAGAGGATTGCATATATATCTTCTTATTATCTGTATTAAATGAGTTTATTTTTACTTTGATTACATTTAAATTAAATCTAATTTAAATTTTAGCTTGGTTTTTCTACTTTTTGGAGTGCAGTTCCACTACTGTATACCGTTTGTGGTTAAGCAGTCTTGGCTTAGAAAGTGTTACCTGCCCCTAATGTAAGGACAACACTATACAAACTAGTTGTGTTTGGACTACAATTCCAGTATTCCCCAGCTATAGTTTTGAGTTGGAGTCTATCAGACCAGGCAAAAAATTGCCTGCAGTTGGTGGGATTCTAGGCTGATACATCTTGAAGACATCTAGTTCAGGAAACAAGGAGTAGATGATCAGTTAGTTGGACCTGGTGTAAAGTTGCTTCCTATCACAAAGAATATTCTTTTTTTTTTTTTTGTAAAAAAAAATCCCCTTTTGAAAATTTATTGACTTATCTTTAAAACTTATGGAGAGTGATATTAGTTGGAGCAAACGAAGTCTAATAATAATTTGCTGAGATGTCCTTTACTTGCTTTTTGAGACATTTTATGCTTCTTCCAAAAGGGCAAAAAAAAAAATGACTGGGTAGGTATGTTAATTTACATGTAACCTGGTTTGATTTCAGGAATCCAACCCTTTCTATGGAGCAAAGATGATGTGATTCACTGGCTAAGATGGGCTGAAAAAGAATATTCACTCCGGAAATCTGATGATAGTAACTTTGAAATGAATGGAAAAGCCCTTTGTATTCTCACCAAGGAAGATTTCAAATTTCGGTCTCCTAATTCAGGTTAGAAGTGTTGCCCTCCTTGGTCAAGGCTTTGTGTGTTTGCACTCTTATCTTGGAATTATCCCATGTAGCAAGTATAAATGAGGAATAACTCAAGACTGTGAGATGCATGACATCTCTAATCTCCTTTGAAATAGATTTGCCTTCCAAATTGTGTTTTATTGACAAGAACTTATTGGTTGAACCAAAGCCCATGGGTCAAGCAGCTTTACAATGTGATAGATGGAAAGAACCAGGTTACCTTTGTGGCTTTTTGATCATGTTTATATTAATACATTTTTTTCAAAGTGTGCTTTCTTGGGGCAGGAGGTAAATTAATTTGTGCTAAATGTGCTGAATGCATTGCAAGTTTTAACGGAAAATTTCAGCTTCCCACAAACGTGTGCAACAAAACTATTTTTCTGGTTTGCAAATGTTAGAAATTGCTCAAGCCGAAATAGTTGAAATAGTCCTTTTGAAATAAACAGCAAATGGAGGGGGGTAGAGGTACTCAAAAATTGCATCATTTTTGTCACCAGTTGGTATTGAAAGAAATGGAGTGGGATTGGTATTTATGTTTCTTTTCTCACAGGAGATGTCTTATATGAATTACTCCAATACATAAAGACCCAGAGAAGAGCCCTTGTGTGTAGCCCTCTCTTTAACATTTCCTTTTGGGATACAGACCATAACCTGACCCAGAGCACTGCAGAAGGTGAGTGCTGTGGAACAGTGGTTATATGCATCATGCAAGTTAATCTTTGGCTCACATTTTGGGCCAATATCTATACAGGAGGATACACAAGCAAAATCCATACTGATCCTCCAGATGGTTTCATATACAATCTTCAGCATCTCATTTCCTAAATTAGGAATTAACTTCTTCCTGAGATCTTGCAGAGTTAATGTTCATCAGCTTATTGGTTACCATACTGACAGAACAGGTTCAATTGATTGTGTGCCATCAAGTCTGTGAAAACCCTTAGTGACCACATAGATTGTCTCCAGGATGTTATATCCTCAAACTGACCCTTCCCCAAACTGGCCCTTAGTGTCCCCATCACTGCTGAAATTGTGTCAATCCAACTTGCTTCTGGTCATCTCTTCATTTATTTTGTCTATCTTTTCCAACATTAGAAATTTCACAAGGGAACTGGTACTTTGCACAATGTATTCAAAATAGTAGTTGTGCCTCAGGTGGGAACTCTGAATTGATGCATTCATCGAGTATTCTTTATTTAAGGCATTCTCAGAAGTCATCTCCAACATCACTAGAGTCAACTATAGTTCTGTAGGCAAAGCATTCCTTCACATAACTTTCTACTTTAAAGATATGACTCAAAATATATAAAAAAAGAACAGTTGGGGAGCTAAGATGAAAGTAAACTAAATGATCTTTATAGCGAAACCACAGGAAGTGGCTCCTGCTCTATGTCTTTTCCATTGATACATCAGTTAGGATGGCATTAGCTTAAGCAAACCAGTATTCTGACTCAGTCAGTTGAATGTATCTGCCTCTCTGCTGCCTATAGTAAAGTTTAGGTAAATAATGAATTTGTATGGATCACTATCATAAACATTTACAAAATATTCAAGAATTGGTCTAGGCACGGATAGCCTGGGACAAACCTGGTTAAGAGTTTTCTTCATATAAAAGAAATATGTGACCAAACAGACTTCAAAGTTGACTATGTTCATAGCGAAACAACCACAGCTAATGCATCTAATTGCAGTACCTTCTGTTACATCAATTTCCAGTTGATTAGGTGTAGATCTACCTTTCCCAAGCTGGTATTTTTCAGATTGCTACACTATACTTAGTGAGCTCCAGATCGAAGAGGGCTGGCTTAGGAAATGGTCAAAATCTCTGTTTTGAATCTGATCTCTTCTCACAGGTACCAAGTGCAATTTAGAAGATTTCCCAGCTAAGGTCCCTGTGTTGCCTTCAGAATATCCAACGATCTTCACTAGTCATGAAGGTTACTCGAACTCATCTCAGTCTTTCACCAAGACACTGTCTACTCCTGGGATGACACCTCTTGCTTATAGCAACCCAGAGATCAGCCATGGTGGAAACATTTGCTCTTTTCCTGTAAAATCTGCTGCTCCTGTCAGGGGGAAAATATCAGGTAAGGGTAAGGTTACCAAGATCTGTTTTTCTTTGGCTATGTGGTTGACAGGAATGCTTACCTGTTCTTGTATGTCAAGAGTATTTGCTCCACTCCCGCCACTGGTTAATAACACAGATTTGGAAGCATGGGAATCCAACTTTATTCACTACTCAGCTGTGGTCACTTGCAAATGCATCCTACAGCTGTCTTTAACAGTGATGCAGTGTAGCAGGAACTAATCCATGTTATTCTGTCTTGAACAACATTTCTCTCAATGTAACTAATTCTCAGACTGTAGGTTACTTTTGGATTACATCTACCGGCTCCTCTCTGATAGCCAGTATGAATCAGTTATCAAGTGGGAAGACAAAGAAACCAAGATCTTTCGGGTTGTAAATCCCCGTGGCCTTGCTGGACTCTGGGGTAATCACAAGGTACTAAATAAGGTGATCCTTCTAAACTCCTTAAGTAGAGATAAACTTCCGTTCAGATGGGCTGATTAGGGCTAGCACTCTCAGCCTACCTGGAGGGCACCAATTTGTACATCTCCCATAGTCCCCCTATGTTCTTTGGAGATAATTTAACAAAGTTATATTCCCAAGGTGTGGGAATTATATTCCCAAGGTGTGCCTCTTCATTTGCAAAGATTTAGCATTCTTGCTAAAAGTAGAGCTGGGAATATCCTGATCCTGGTCTCATAATGAACTATGACCAGTTGGAATATTCCAACAGGAGTCAGTCTAGCCGTTTCCAGCCTGGCTCTCATAACATTAAAGTATAATCTCCATCATCTAGAGCATCAGACATTGTGCTTCTAGGACTTTTACAAGGACAGATTAAAGGAGGGTACACAAGATGATTTGATACAGTCTGGGACAAAGGGAGTACTTGCATGTATTTATTATACAGTAGTATGTCTGCCTTGACTTTCCTGTAAGAATTCAAGGTAGCATGCACTGGCATTCCTCCTTTAATTGTCAGATTTGGCATAATAAGTTGGGCTGAAATATTACGACTGGCCAGAGTCAACTAGAGATTGAATGAGGACTTAAATATGGGTTTCCTAGGTCTTAAGTTTGCTGTCTTATCATTGCACCAGAGTGCTTCCCATTTACCTTCTTTTAATTCTAAATTAATTCACAAAGCTGGTATTTTAACTGTATGTAAAACAAGGTATTTATTAACATAATTCCCATCCTATCTCCAGTGAAAGAGGTTATTGCATGCAGGTTTCTTGACAACTCTTTTCTAATTCAAATTAGTGATTAGGCAAGAGAAAGCAAATTGAAGTTATAATCACAATTTTTAAACAATTTTCAGAACCGAAGGAATATGACATATGAGAAGATGTCAAGAGCGTTGAGGCATTATTATAAACTCAACCTCATCAAAAAGGAAGCTGGGCAGAAATTATTATTCAGGTGAGATGAAGATCCATCCCTGAGGCTTCCCTGCTCCTTTCTCCTCTCACAGCCCTTGTTCAGTAGGTGCTCTCTGCAACTTTACTTCGGAGGAACAGAATAAAAATTCTTCTCTCAAATGGTTTGTTCATCAAATGGCTGAGATGTGTGAAAGGCCAAGTTTCCTGTTTGACCCCATTGATACCAGAAATGAGATGATACAAATCTTTTATTATGTAGATTAAGCTTATGAAACTTATTCAGAATTGAAAACAGTGGCAAAAGAATAAAAAGAAAAAAAAAACCCTTCTCTGGGTTGAGGTGTTTTCTTTCCTGATAAGAAGCCAATCTGAAGAGATACCTCTCCTCTGGGAATGTAAAGCAAACGAATAAAGAAAAAAAAAAGGAATTTTCCCCATGTTATTTCTAAAGCTGTTCTGATGGAAAGAACCTTCCTGCCTCTGCTTGGTTGCTCAGAGTTCACGTTTTTTCAGACCTTGCTGATTTTTGCCCAAGGGGTTGAGTCAGAGGATTAATAAGATCTGTTATCTTGATAGGAAAAGTGTGATATGTTTTTATGTTGATATTTTTCCTGGTTGCCATGAGCCACCTAGGAATACCAGGTGAGATGGGTGGCTGTATAAATTTCATAATTAAATAATCTCGATTGACAGGTTTAAGTGCAATAACTTTTATTATTTTGGGGGGATTTTTTTTCCTCCTTCATTTCAACTTTATCCTTTGAATCTTGGAAATTCTGGACCGTAATCCCTTGTCAACAAAATGAATTACAATTGCATTTTAATACTTGACTAATGTGTTTTGAAATTCTATGCAAATAGGATTAGAAACACATTTTTCATTTTAAAGCATCTTTTCATATAACAAAGCAGGGATATTAGCATATCCATTGTAACACTTTTTGACTTCCTGCATTAACATAAATATTTTAATAGATACAGATCAATAGCTTTTCATTCCTGGATTATGTGTTTTTGTGTGTATCCGTGTGTATTACTGAAAGGAGTCGGGAGGGACAGAAAGAGTATTGGATCATCAGGGGAAAAAAAGTTGATTTTTCTTTTAATGCTTAATTCCAGATTCCTAAAAGTTCCTGGAGAAATAAAACAGTACACAACCAGTAAATTGGAGTAGCTGAACAATGAAGAGCAGAAAGGAGAGGACTCAAAAAATTTACCAGAAATTTCATTGTAGACATTTGCCAATTTTGCCATGCCATAGTGGCATCAAGAGCTTGTGTGGGAAAATATTTGCTGTCTATATGAAGACAGAAAACAAAACAAGGCCTTGGGGAATTGTGCATCCTGCAAATTAAATGCAAAGAACTAATCCATTGGATTTCTGCTGTCAAACGTAATAGAAGCATTTGTGTAAAACAAAAGTTTTAAACTGAATCTGCAAATCAGTTCTAGTTCCTTTGTCAGTCATGCTGCTGTAGAATTTCTTAGCATTCTCAAAGATACTCTCCTACCCATGTAAAAATATCTCGTGGGAAATTAAGAAGTTTTTTCATTTGGAAAAAAACAACAACAGAAAGCCCCATATATTTGCAGTGATCATTGTGTTACAGACCTTGGAAATCTTGTAGTTCAACTCCCTGCTCAAGCAAGAGACATAGCATTCTGGACACATGGCCGTCTAATCTCTTCTTAAAAACCTCCACTCACGGAGCACCCACCCATTCCAGTGATTAATTGTTCTAACTGACAGGGAAATTCTCCTTAATGCTAGGTTGGATTTTTCTTTAAGCTTTTATCCATTACTTCTTGCCTTGCCCTTAGGTGCTTTGAAAAATAAGTTGACCCCCCTCTTCTCTGTGACAGCTCAAATATTGGAAGACCGCTATCAGGCCACCCCTAGTTTTACACTTCATTAGACAAGATATTCCAAATTCTCGCAATCATTCATTGTATGCTTTAACCTTCAGTCCCCTAATAATCTTTGTTGCTCTTTGTTGTACTTTTTCTAGAGTTTAACATCTTTTTTTGTACAGTGGCTATAAAAACTAGAGGCAATATTCCATGTATGGTCCTACAGTATAAAGTGGCACTAACATCTCATGTAATTTTGGTACTACCCCTCTGTTGATGCAACCTAGGACTGCATTGGCTTTATTGGCAACTGTAGCACACTCCTGGCTCATACTTAGTGGCTGATTCCTAGATCCCTCTCACTTGGAGCACAACAGGAGAGAGGATACTACAGAGTACAAGATCTCTTACTCTGTAGTGGACTTCCTCAGAAGAAAAGGCTGGGAGTGGTATGGGAGCACATTGTGATCTTCATTGCCAGCTTCCCCCCGAGTTTGCATGTGGGAAACTGGTAAGAAACGCTGCATATACTGCCAAGTTTTAATTGTGAGCTGGGCACCTCAATGCCCAGAATGCCATCCTTATGACAGTGGGGATGTTGCCACAGTTGAAACTTTGTGGACCAGTTTTAAGGCCTCATTTGTTGTCATAATTTTGAACTGTTGCTGAATTAGTGGTGACTGCTTGTGTTGTGAATGAAGCCACTGTGTGTGCTTCAACAATTAGACTGGGCTGAAATCTCTCTGATATAGGGCATGACAAGTGAAAGTGAAGACTTTCTGATTATGCACCAAAAGCATGAATGAATGAAGCCACTGTGTGTGCTTCAACAATTATTAAAATAAACCATGGCTTATGTGAATCCAGTATTTTCTTGGCAATATCTAATCTCTATCAAAGTCAGCTATTGGATTACTTTGACTTCCACTCTGCTTACTTTAAAAAAAATTTTTTCTTAGAATTAAAACAACCTGAAATTTACAAACCTAAGTGTTAATTGCTTCCTGTTAAGTTTTGCTTTGATTCTTCCAGCAACCATTTCCTGATTGCTAGCATTTCATTGCTGTTAATATCCTTGCTAGTAAAGGGAAGGAAAGCCTGCAACAAAAAAACTTGATTTGTAAAGGAGTAAACTTGATTTTGGAAAGTGTTAGGGTCTCCTCTTTTCCCAGGCAGTTCACTCAAAGAAGGTAAATGAATTAATCACCTATAACAAATTATCATTTGGTGCTGCTTGCACAGGTAAAACTTTGCCCAGTTCTTACAGATAATGTAAGCTGTTTTATAATCTCACCAAATTGCTAAGTACTTTTATACATCAAAATCAAATAATTAATTATATTTAATAAATGGTCTTTATCTTGTACTATGAAGTTTCTATTTTGTTTTATAAACGGAATCTGCGGTAAAATATTATTATATGCTATACTGCTGGGTTGTTGTTGCTGTCACTAGATCTTCGTTTTCTTCATTCCTTGACAATTTCCCAGCCTGTCTTGCAATCCCTCACTCCTTTTCCCACCCAACAGCAGCCATTTATCTGCCTGCTGGGAAGGGGGAAGGGAAGAAGGAACTCCTATGCGTCCTTCCTGGCCCATGCCACCTCCCCACGACCTGTGCCCCTCTCCACTTGCCTTCCCTAACCCATGCAGCACCCAGTACACACCTCACACATCTTCCATGACTCTTGTGGCTCATTTTGGGTACCCCACTGTGTGCCTTCTCAATTCGCACTGTCCCCCAAATGTCATCCCTTGCTCTGCAACGTTTTTTGCATACCCCTGCACACCTTCTCCAACCTGCCTCCCCTCAAGCACCTTCCGTGACCCATGCAGCACCTCTTGGGCACCTCCATGACCCTTTCTGATCCATGCTACCCCCGTGTGCTTTCCCTCACTCCATAGCACCCCAGGCACCCAATCCCAACTCATCCCGACCCCTCTGATGACTCTTGGGCACCCACGTGCATTTCACGCTATGCCGTCCTCATGCAGTCTGATTGCAAAGCACCTCTTGCTCACTCCCAAGCATGCTTCTCAACCACTTCCCCCACAAGCCATCCCCAACAGATACAGTACCCCCCCACACACAGACCTTCATGCCCCCATCTTGACCTATTTCTCCATGTAGCCAACATGATCCACAGAGCACCTTTCACGTGCCCCCTAGCAATAGCACTTAGACTTATATACCATTTCACAGTGCTTTTACAACCCAGTCAGCATATTGCCCCCAACAATCTGGGCCCTCTAACACCTTTCACGATCTATGCTATTCACCTCTCTGCTCTTCCCAAATTGCATGCCATCTCTGGCAAACTTCCTTCACATCCTTCCCAACCCATGCAGTAATACCTCTTGCATACTCCCACATTTCTAAATACATCCCTCACTTCCTCCATCAGGCTTAGAATGGGCTGAAATCTGATAATCAGCATGATATGGTTAAATAATAAATAGCAAGTGAAAGTGAAGGCATTCTGATTATGCACAAAAGCATGAAAAAATAAAATTATCCTGCAATTTATGGTCTCAAAGCACAGATGTTGGATGTTGGCATGAACTGCCAGTTGAATCTTATCACAGTATTGATAAAAAGAACATTGTTTTCCATTATATTTGAACTGATGTCACTAGCATTAATTTTATTTACAGTGGTTCAGAGGTTTATCTTCTGCTGATTCATAATTTTAGTAAAAGTTGAGGAGCCATATTTTTTAAATGGCATACTTCAGAAAAAAATGCTACACTTGAGTGGCATTACCAGCATCTGGGGAGACAAGGGGACAAATGTATATCATGAGATCGGCCTGCACATTATGCAATTTATGTATAAGTGTTGGACTTCATGATATAAGTACATATGCACCATTTTCATCATAACGTGCATCATCATCATCATCATCATTAGCCATGGTGGTATAATTAGAATGCTGTACTGCAGGCTACTTCTGCTGACTGTCAGCTGCACAGCAGTTTGATCCTGACTGTTGCAAGGTTAAGTCAGCCTTCCATCCTTCCAAGGTCGGTAAAATGAGAACCCAGATTGTTGGGGGCAATATGCTGACAATGTAAACCGCTTAGAGTTCTAAAGCACTGTGAAAGCAGTATTTTTGTCTAACTGCTATTGCTATTGTGACATTGCTATGACTTGTTAGAGATTCTGAGTGCCAAGCTGAACCACGAACAAACCCTTCACTTCAAAACCAATCCTTTTAAAATTCTGAAATCCAATTAACATTCTCCTTTTAAAAGAATGCAGTATTAAAAAGCATTATCTTGATTTTTGAGATACATTAGACCAGATTGCAAAAGTTTATAAAATCCTTATACCCTCATAATTAAAGCATTTTTTTAAACTGTTAGAGATGCAAATGAAGATAAGTTCCATTATAATGGGTTGCTGAAACTAACAGATGAACTTCAGTATTGACAATTCACCCAAAATAAAGTATTTTGATATACTTGTGATTTAAAAAGAGAAGTCATTATTTGCTCAGAGTAGAAATTACAGATCAACAAAAATGGCAGATGCCCAGACAACCTGGCCAATTTGTTACTTAATATCTACTTAATTATGTAATAACTATGGCATGTAATACATTACAGCATAAAATGTGCCAATTTGCCATTTTTCTATGTAAAAAGGTTCGATAAACAAATAAACACTCTGATGTTGTCATCTTGATTGTAACTGTGATTAAGATTAGGAAATGTCCAAAGAATAATGGTTCCAGATTAATTTATGCAAATTTCCATGAATTCAATTCAAAATGGGGGAAAATTGTAAACTATCTTTTAAGCCAAAGCAAATTATAGTTTAAATTTCAGTATAGAAAGTTTATGGAACAAAGGATTGAATCACTAGAGTTCTAGTAAATGCAAGATAGTTCTTTAATCAGGTAATAAGAAAGTAACTCCTGGACACATCAATTTGCATCAAACTTAATGTAACTATGCAGTGAAAATGCATAATTTGTTTAACTTGTTGTTAAGATGTTTCTACAATTTCAAACTTTCAAAGGATACTTCTAGCTGTTCAGAACTGCTGAGTATCCCTGTAATTCCAGATAAAGTGTGACTGCAATGAAAGTAATCAACAACATATTTTATAAACATTTTATTGGTTTAATAGTGTACACAGTACTTACAGTTGTATCTATTAAAGACAAAATACACTTCAAAATGCAGAATAAAAAATTATAAACTTTTGAACTATATACAAACTTTGCGTTACAATTTCACAAATATCAATGCCCCAGCTCCATTCACAACCAAAAAGAAAAGAAAAATAAAAGAAGTTTTTTTACATGCAAAATTTTGGAAAAAGCATCACTTGGGGGTTACCTATTCCCTCCCTAACTATCAAGCCACTTTATATAGGCTCAACATTCCAGTGCTTTCTAATTCAAAAGAATTCACACATTCCTTAAACCATATTACATCTTTATCCTTAAATCTACTTCCAATTAAGCATTTCACGGCCTCTCTTTTCACTTCTAATTAAAAATTTGCATTTGGTATTATTTCTACTTTTAATTTTTGCTTAAGAACAAAACATTTTGCATCATCTTATAGTTTGAGATTCCCAAGATTAAAAAATAGTTTGAAATAAATTTGTCTTACGCATGAAATCTAAGCCATTGGAATAATAGATTCTATCAGGTAATTACACCATTACAGAAAAAAACTAACTATAGAAATGTTCTAAAGACTAAAAATTAAATAGGTTTCTGTTTCATCTACATACAGGTATCACAAAGACCAATTTTATTTCTATTTTTAATAAATGTAAAGGTTGCAATGGCTAGATAGTTTTAAGTTGCAAATGTATTGTTATATTTTAAATATACATAAGAATTAGGAGAACCTTGATCCTCTTAATACCCCAATATGCAATATTAAAATGACAGCTGAAAAGAGGAATTTATGGGAAGAAAAATCCCTAATCCAAACAATACAGTATCTTCCCCTCACTCAGCATTATTTCAAAATGCATCAGTGCTTTTAATATTTACAGCAATCTCCCAAACCTGATGTTCTATAGATATTTTGGGATCAATCCCAAGAATTCCAGAAAGCATATGCTTTGGGAATTGCCAATGGGAATTGTAGGAGCGATGGAAGATACAAGATGTAGGAAGGCCAATATACAGCAATAGTAGAAAAGAAAATCCATTCCCCACCCACAAAGCATTCATTGTTCCTTCACAAATACCATCACTTAAATACCAATCAGATATTTGTTATTTAAAACAGTGAAGAGAAATGCTACATGCTGAAGCAGTCAGCTGAAAAACAAGGCGATAATCAAATACCCAGTATACTGAAAATAAAAAGGAAAAATCAGAAAGACTGAAGGAAGCACATTTATAAATACACAAGATATAACACAGACTTAAACAGGACTTTACAGATACCAAATGAAACAAACCCCTTTGTTGCCAAGAGCTTAAGTTAGAGCACTGAACTG